CACACACACACACACACACACACACACACACACACACACACACACAAGAAATGCTCCACTTAGGACTCCCATGGTAAAAAAACCGGACACAAGGGATAATCCATACCGTGATCAATATCCCCATCCAAGACCAATCCACAAGGGATAACAAAAGGTTGCAAGCATGATGAGACTAACGAAGGGGAAACATATGGTGCCTTGCAGATACTCAAGAAAGCAATAACACAGTGAACGCAAAGGGTTAATCTGACGGATGGCTCAGAAGCTAAAACTCTTCGACAGAAAGAACAAACAGAATTACAAACAGAGTAAAAACAAAAGAGTGAAGTTTCACACAAGTACAAGCAACACCCTTTTTTCAAGCCAAAGAAAGTCTCTGAAACCCTCCAATGTTCTTCTCAAGCACTTCGCCAAAAGCACCATCCCAATCTACACTACTTTACAATACATACATCATTCTACACACCTACAAGTCAAAGTTGTCTGCACCCATTAGAAAAAAAACGAAAAAAAGGTTGTCCGCACCTGTCTCTGGCTTCCTCCTTGGCATCCTTGCCCATCATGGGAAAAGACCAATTTCCCGCTAGACATCCCCTTTGATGCCACAAAGGTTCTCCGTTTTCCACAATATACTTACTAAGTTACTATGTGTAACCTCTTTCATACAGTAGTCATAAATGTCAGATAAACTGGAAGTCATCATGATGAGATGGCACCCATTTCGCTGTGCCGCATCCAAATACGCACCATTTCCTCTGATCTCAGAAATTTTGATCGCAGTCCTTTTGCAGATGAAGTTGATGGAGGTGATGAAGTTGATGACGGTGATGAAGGTGATGAAGTTGATGAACACGATACAATGCTGGGGATGAGCAATCTGCACATGTGATAGGGACATATGTTCAATGGATGGATTCACAAGCACTGGAGCCTTGACCTTCAAGGCCACAGCGCTGCCGAATTTCACCATGGCTTTTGTGAACCACCTTAAGACCCATAAAGTGGACTAGAAAGGAAGTCACAGATAGATGATGTCCCAAGTGGTGAGCCAGTCGGTCAGGGAATGATTTTTAATACCGCGTCCCCTGCAAAGAGTGCCGAGGATTGGTTGCCCATGACATCATCTACATGCAACCAAACACTCGCATGCATGCCAGCACACACAAAGATGAACTCGCATGTGCATGCACACACACACACACTCCTACCCACCCAATCTCCCTCCCTCTATCTCCCCCCCCCCTCCCCCCCTCTCTCTCTCTCTCTCTCTCTCTCTCTCTCTCTCTCTCT